TAAGTTCAGTACTGAATACCAGAGGCTGTCCCCAGGTATACTCTTCACCACAGAATAAGGATTTGGGACAGTGGGGTGAATGTCCTGTACAATGTCATTTATGGCCCTTACGTTTTGTACAAATTGATACTCATTCGAGTGGGGTTTCTATACAGGCAATAGGGGTGTATTGTATGGGGAGTAGCAGAGCCAAATAAGTCCATATTCCTGAAAATTCTGAATTATTGCGTGTGTTCCTTTTATGACCTCTTTCTGTGAAAGATATTGCCTCTTATTGGGAGTCCCCGCCCCTGATTTGAGGTAAACTTTAACAGGGGAGGCTTGCTTAGCCCTCTCTGGCCTTCCAGCAGCCCACACAGTGGGGTTTACTTGAGTCTCAATGTCCCCTGGACGGGGTCACTTTTCCCCTTCCTCCCGCAGTTTCATAAGGAACTGCCAGGCGTACTCTGGAGGGACCAGCAAGTGGAGGTGTTGCTCTTCTGGGGTGAAAGTGATCTGAGAATGAAGTTTGGACAGCAAGTCCCTTCCCGGAAGAGGAAATGGACACTGAGGAATATATTAAAATTTTATGAGTTAAAACCATATCTCCCACAGCACATTCTAATGGCCTCAAGAAAAATTGGCTTTCGGGCCTTCCAGAAATTCCAGTTACAGTTACAGCCTGCCGCAAGGATTCAGCTAGAGGTCTATTGACCACAGTATATGTCATTCCAGTATCAACCAAAAAGTCTATAATTTGTCCCCCCACTGTTAGTTTAAAAAATATTTTATTTATTTATTCTTAGAGAGAGGGGACGGGAGAAAGAGGGAGAGAAACATCAATATGCAAAGGGATACATCAATAACTCCCTCTCACATACCCCCATACAAGGGTATGGCCCCTGCAACCCAGGCGCATGTCCCTACTGGGAATAGAACCAGCAACCTTTTGGTTCACAGGCCAGCACTCAATCCACTGAGCCACACTAACCAGGGCCCCACTATTAGTTTTACCTGAGGTTTCTGGGGAGTGACTTTAATAGGTTGTTGTAATGATTGAACATCTGGGCCCCACTATTCATCATTGGAGCTATTTCCTTTTCCCAGCATAAATCTTGAGTTCTCGGTCTCTGACCTCTTTTTCCCTCGCTTGGGGCACTCATTCTTCCAGTGCCCTTTTCCTTTGCAACACATGCATTGATCAGTGGCAAGCATTTTACACATGGCTGGATGCCTCTTGCATGCTGATGGAATTGCCCTGAGGCCTGTTCCAAGAAAACTGAGGCCTGCTTGGGCCTTTTACTGTTCTCTGTTATTATAAACTTTGAAGGCAATGTTTACTAATTGGTAAAGATTCATGCCTATTCATCCCCCTGACTTCTGAAGTTTCTTTCTGATGTCAGGTGCACTTTGAGAGAGAAAGGTCATATTTACCCTTCTACTATTTCAGGGGCTTGTCAATCCAAACCAGTATATTTTCTATAGGCTTGGTAGAGTCTTTCAAGAAACTCAGAGGGGTCCTCAAGAGCTTTTGTAGTATTGCCTGTACCATATTCAGATTTTTCTGCTTAGGGACTCCTTTCTTCAGTCCCTCAAGGACGCACCTCTTACAATGCTCTAAAAGAGGAAGGCCATTCCCATAGGGTCCCAGTTGGGGCTGGTTAAAGATATTGCCTTATTAGGGTTGGGAGCCCCACCTGGATTTTCTTGTTGTCCCTGAGCTTCTTCATTTGCCTTATCTAATACCAACTTTTGCTCATCCCCTGTTAGCAAAATATTCAGTAAGTCTTGCATGTCTGCCTAATTGGGACGGTGGGTGACAAAAACTGATGTAACAAAGTCAGTCATTTAATAAAATCATCCCTATAAGAAGGTTTTGAGTTTTTGCAGTTTAACAGATCCAATGTAGAAAACTGGTATGGCTCAGTGGACTGAGTGAGCATCAGCCTGCTAACTAAAACATCACCAGTTCGGTTCCTGATCAGGGTACATGCAAGGATTGTGAGCCAGGTCCCCAGATGGGGGTGTGTGATGTATCTCATGCGCATTGATGTTTCTTTCTCTCTCTTTCTCCTTCCCTTCCCCCTCTAAATAAATAAATAAATAAAATCTTAAAAAAAAAAAAAGACCCATTCAGTGGCCAGCACTCTCCTGAGTCCAGCTTTGCCTTAGATGTACAAGTTTATTTCTGGACTCTCAATTCTGTTCCATTGCTATATATGTCTATCCTTATGCCAGTCCACATGGTTTTATTATAATTCTTTTAAAAAAAAAGTTATTTATTTATTTATTTTTAGAGAGAGAGGATGAGAGGGAGAAAGAGAGGGAGAGAAACATTAGTGTGTGGTTGCCTCTTGCACGCCCCCAACCGGGGACCTGGCCTGCAACTCAGGCATGTGCTCTGGCTGGTTATTGAACTGGCTACTCTTTGGTTCTTAGGCCGGCACTCAATCTGCTGAGCCACAGCAACCAGGGTTGATTACTATAATTTTGTACTAAGTGTCAAAATTGGGACATGTGCGTCTTTCAATCTTGTTCTTTACCAAGACTGTCATAGCTATTCATGACCTCTTTCAATTCCATGTGAATTTGAGGATCAGCTTTTCCATTTCTACAAAAAATGTTATTGGAATTTTGATAGGGATTCTACTGAATCTGTAGATTGCTTTAGGTTGTACTGACATCTCAGTGTGGCTTGTTTTCCATTTGTTTAGGTCTTCTTTAATTTTTTTCAGCAATGTTTTCTAGTCTTCACCTCCTTGTACAAGTCTTGTATAAGTCTTTCACCTCCTCGGTTAAATTTTATTTTTAGGACCCTGGCTGGTGTGGCTCAGTGGGTTGAGCACTGGCCTGTGAACCAAAAGGTCACCAATTTGATTCCCAGTTAGCGCACACGCATGGGTTATGGGCCAGGTCCCCAGTTGGGGGCCTGTGAGTCAAGTGATTGATGTTTCTCTCACACATTGATGTTTCTCTCTTTCTCCCTTCTCCTCTCTCTGAAAATAAACAAATAAAACCTTAAAAAAAATAACTATTATTCCTACGTATCTTATTAATTCAGATGGACTGTAAATAGAATTGCTTCCTTCATTTCCTTTTTGAGATTGTTCATTGCAGGTGTGTAGAAATACAATTGATTTTTTGCATGTTGTTTTTGTAATCTGCAACTTTGCTGAGTTTATTAGCTCTACTAGCTTTCTTGAGGATATCCTATATACAGAATCATATTGTCTATGAAATATAGACATTTTTACTTCTTTTCCAGTTCGACTGCTTATTTCTTTTTCTTGTTTAGTAGGTCTGACTAGAATTTCCAGTACAATGTTGAAATAGCAGTGGTGAAATGGGATGTCCTTGCATGATTGTTTTTTTTTCTTACACAGTTATTGTTGTTCTGTAATGACAAAATCCATTTATGTCTTAGGTGATTTGGCATTTTGGGTACCCCGACATGATGGGTTTATTTACTGCCATTTGGGAGGGTTAATGGAGAGAGCCAACAGGGTTAAGCCATGGTGGGCTACACTGTGTGTGTTGGGGTGAGGCTTCTAGCATCTGCTCTGAGTCTTATTTTTCTTCAGCCCTTAAAGCACTTTATATACATTATGTCATGGTATTACCCTCGTTAACATATGAGGAAGACCAATTTCAAGGAAGTTAACTGAGGATCAGAGTTAAATGATTTGCCTGTTACACAAGCAATCAAGTGACAAAACCGGTCTACTAGGGTTGTACTAACATGCCGTTCAAGTGCACAGGAAGATAATGAAAGTTGAAGTGTGCAGTAAAGGTGACAGCTAAAAACCAGACTGAAGGGCATACCCAGCCTATTTCATGTTCACAACTGTTGCCCCACAGCGCATTTCAGCACTTTGCATCTTTCTCCCAGTCCGCCGCCTTTAAGGCTTTGCCTTGGCCACAAACCTCCCATTGGCTCTCCGTACAGGGCCCCAAGTCGTACGAGGGAAGCAGCCAATCAGCGCCATTCATTTCCGCCCAGCCCTCTCGTGCCAGATCGCGTGGTCTCTGTCCCTCCCGCAGATTTCCGGGAATTGTAGTCTATTATAGCATTTCTGTCTGTAGGAAAGAAGACCGAGAACTACTAGACCCAGAGAGCTAAGCGCGGAGCGGGTATACCTTTAAGGGATACCCCACCAACAGTCCGGGCCAAGAACCGGTATCCAGCAACAGGTGAGAGTGATAGCGGGCTGGGACCAGGGCCTGGGGCTAGAGACTCGGGCCTTACCTCTGGAGCAGTACTTTGAGGCACAGGAGGTCCGGTCTGTTGCGTCGGAGTTTCACCGTTTTGAGGGTTGGTGGGCCCTACTGGCTGACCCTCTGGATGTGCGGAAACTCCCGAGCTCTATCGTGTGCTTTCCCCGCACCTCCCAGTATACTCGAGGCAGGTTTGCTTTTCTACTGCGAATCCTCATCACTCGCCCAGTGTTGCTCCTCGGCTTCTCCGTAGTCCCAGCGCTCCTTGTGGGGCTCGGGATGTCCATTCTCATTGCCCCAAACCACCTGGCCGTCGCATCCGGGGGCTCCCGCTCCTCCACACCCCTCTCCCCGCCTACTAGGGGAGACCCGGGTTCTAGATTTGGCGCTGCCACTGCCTCCGTATCTTCCTCCTAGAACCTCAGTTTGACCTCTGTGAAATAGGGTGATTTAAGGGTCCTTTCAGCCCCTACTGCTGAGGAACTACTTTGGATCCTTCTAACTACTCCAGGGTTTGGGGGAAGCAGCCAAGAGAGGAGTAATTGCAGAGGCTCCCTGGAGGAGTAGTTGATGGTTGAGCAAGATAAAGTTAGGTGGCATTAAATTCTTGCCATGCTATATTGTGTGACCAGTTGAGTGTCACTCGCCAAGCCATACTTTTTGTTTCCTGCATGTCCTTTCTGTAAATGCCCAAAGTCTGCCCAGAAGGGGACAGGACCAGGTCCTGGAGGTAAAAAGTTGAGGGGTGGAAGGGCTGACATGGGGAGCTGCCACCATGCATCTGCCTGTGGTGCTTGCCCCTGCAGGCAGTGCTTGGTGCCTCCTCTCTATGTCACCCCTCCTCCCATGATGCCCCTGTCCTGGTGGCTGAGATCTATGGGGGTCTTCTTGCTACCAGCCCCCCGCTGGGTGCCCCGGGAGAGGCGGCTGGGTCCCCTACTGCCGCCCTCCCTGGTGTACCAGGGCTCAGTCCTGGGGGCCTGGCACAGTGCCCGCTGCTGGTGCCAAGCATGGACAGAGGAGCCTCGGTGAGTGTGGAGGCGGGGAGGGGCTTGTGGGAGGGGAGTGGCTGATCAGATTTCTGACTTGTCCTCCCTCTCCTCAGAGTACCTTACTCCTCTCTCAGAATGGATGGCGATCAGAAATTGGATGTTTATGACCAAAAAATGAAGGTTTTCATCCAGCACTTCTCCCAGATTGTCAAGGTGGTGACTGAGGATGACATGGGGCATCTAGAAATAGGAGATGCTATAGCCCGTCTAAAGGAGGTGAGGAATTTGTGACCTGAGAGAGTGAATCTTAGGTCATTCTGTATATGTGTGGGATCCAGCCATGGTTTTGGGAGGGGGGGGGGGATTTTTGACAGTTGAGGGATCAAACTTTTACCTGAGTGACTCTAGGTCAGCTCTGGAGGGGCCAGTACCTGTACAGGTAGGACTTTATCAGTCTGTGAATTCCTCCTGTGATTCATCTGCACCATCCAAACTGCTTTGCATGGGTGGAGGCCCCTGAGGTGAAGGCTTTGAATCTGCTAAGTCTTTGATTTTGCTGGGAAAGGAAACTAGATGTCCCAAGGTGCTACCTTGGCAGGGACCAGGAAGGAAGGAGTGAAACTAGTGTGTCATCAGAAACCTCTGTTCTGGAACAGGGACTATTGCTGAGGTACCTTAGTTGCCTAATTCTTATATTCTTTTGGAGTATCTAGTAATTCTTTTATAAATGCTGTCTCATTTGTCTCAGGGGAACCAAGGAAAAAAGAGGAAGTTTTTGTACACCGGGATGGAGATTAAAAGGGAAGTGTTTCCAGGGAATTAGACCTGGCTGTCAGCAGGCCAGCAGAAGACAAAATGAGCAGCAGGAGACACTGTTGGAGGAGTAGGGGATGGGTCCCCCAATCTGGGTCCTCCAGGCTCTCCTCTGACAAACTTGGGTGAGGGCCTTGTCTTCAGTACAGTAAGAGGCTTTTCATTTGTAGAGAGGTTGGACTGTGGGATGGAAGAAGTGGCTGGGAAGGATAGGTAAGGGTTGTGAGAGGAATTCTAGGAGAGGTGGGGATGGGGCTAGAACCTGAGGAGGAGAGACCTGAGCATGCCAGGCATTCCTATAGCATGAACAGAGTTTCCTCTGGTTCAGGCTTGGGAACAGATTTTAACCTGCACTATTAAATTCACTGAGGAATACAGTGCAGAGAGAGCCTAGGGACTGGGGAACTCTTCTTTGTTCTAGAGCTTGGGGGATATAACCAAGAGAATAGCAATTCCTTAGGCTTCCTGGAAGAGAAGTCAGGGTTAAGGAGGATTTTGAAGTTAGGTCATGGTTGGAAGCAGGAGAGGGCAAGAAGAAAGCTCAGAGTAGCTGCCCTGCGGACCCTGATATCCCATCCCTCTGGCTTTGCCCCCCCAGAGCCTGGAGTACAATGTTGTCGGAGGCAAGTACACTAGGGGCATGACTGTGCTGACAGTGCTACAGGACCTGGTGGCACCGAGAGAGCTGGACGCTGCCCGCCTCCAGCAGGCCCTGACTGTGGGCTGGTGTGTGGAACTGGTGAGAAGGGCCCGGGGAGGGCAGGAGAAGTTTACCAGGGCGGGCGTGTCTTTGGTGGGGAGGGGAGAGATGGGCCTGCCACTCATTTCTTGGCTGTTTGAGTTTCTGTGTCTCTAGGGTGCCACAGCCAAATGTAGACAGTGAGTTACTCCATAGATTAATAAATGTGGGGAACGTCTTTTGCAGGTAGGTACGTGTTTTGCCCGTAGACTAGCTGTGAGCCAGGGCGTTAGAACTGAGCATAGAGGTATCAACTCTGAGTAAAGTGACATAGTTTTTCCAGAGATTATTCTAAGCAGAGGTTAAAAACTGGCATCCCCTTGATAGTTTTTGAAAATATTTTAAAACTAAGTCTCCTAAATTTAACAAAGAATAGATTTTACATAAAAACCCAAATTTCTGCCCTGGCCCATGTGGCTTGTTTGGTTGGAGTGTTGTCCCGTGCAACAAAAAGTTATGAGTTTGATTTCCCGTTAGGGCACATGGCACATACGTAGGTTGTGGGTTCGGTCCCAGGTTGGGGCATGTGGGGGCTGAGCAGGGAGGGAGGAACCTATCACTGTTTGATGTTTTTGTCTGACATTGATGTTTCTCTCCTTCCGCCACCCCCCACCCCTGCCTTGCCCCAGCTTCCTCTCTCTGAAATCAATGAATGTATCCTTGGGCAAGGACTTAAAAAAAAAACACCAGATTTCTAGCATCACTTGGAAAATTGCTAGATCTGGGTCCAGACTCTGTGTGGCAGCAATTGGCTGAAGTTGAATTGAGGTCACTTCCCCAAGACAGGGCATGTGCTCTCTTCTGTGGGTCTGTCTCCTCTGCTGCACTTCCCGTGTTTCCTTGTGTGCTGTGCCCAGCTCTCTTGGCCCTTGAAGGTGTACAGTTTGCAGGACTAAGGTTTCATTAGTAACAGGGGGACTGGCTACGGGGAGGGGTGCAATGATCCCAGAAGGGAAGATCCTCAGGACTTGGTAGATGACAGGTGGTGCTGAGGCTCCTGGCCTGAGGAAAGCAGCTGGCCCGGGGCAGGAGTGATGAGCAGCTCATTGTCAACTACACTGCATCTTGGTGCCGGCAGAGCAAGTGGGCCTGTCCTGTGAGTGTTGAAATTCCAGTCTGGAGCTTTGGAGATAGGGCTGGGGAATGGGGATTTGCCTCCAAGGAGGTAAAGGGACAATGGCATCATTGAAGGATAGGGGGGATTGGGTGACAGGGTTGTCTCTGTAGGGATCAGGAGGGGCTGAGGAGTCCATAAACTTGGAAGCAACAGGCAAAGAAGGAAGGACAGGAAGATCAGGGCAGAGCAGATTAGCAGAGCTATGGGGCCATGTGAGGCGAGACTTGAAGGCCAGCAGCTCACCTGTAGAATCAGTTGTTGTTATTAACCCTAGCTGTTCACCTGGGAGTGGGGTTTTTTTTTGTTTGTTTGTTTGTTTGTTAAACATGCCTGAAATGCTGTCACTTCTCCAGGATACCATGTGAGCTGTCCACCATTATTTTCACTTGGGTGATTTTAGTTATCTTTTGCTTCTACCTCATCTCCTCCAGCGTCTCTTCTTTTTCAGCATTTACTGTCTAAAAACAAGGACATTTGCCTTCAGAACCACAATATTATTATCACATCTGCCTTAGTGTGTTCGGGCTGCTACTATACCAGAGATTAGGTAGTTTATAAACAACAGCTCTGAAGGCTGGGAAGCCCAAGATCAAGGCACCAGTATGGTGGGGTGAGAGCCCGCTTCTTGGTTCATAGCTGGCACCTTCTTGCTGTATTCTCACGTGGTGGAAGTGGCTAGGGAGCTCTGTGGGGGTGTCTTTCATAAGGGCACTAATCCCATTTATGAAGGTTCCATTCTCCTGACCTAACCACCCCCCAAAGGCCCACCTTCTAATACCATTATCTTTGAGGGTTAGGATTTTAACATACAAATTTCAGAGGGATATAGTCAGACCACAGCAATATCTAAGATATTTAACATTGATAAAGGAATATGATAGTATATTATACTATAGTATTATATAATATATTAATATTGTATATATTATATAAGCTTATAATAATATACCTAACATATAGTTCATATTTAAATATTCCTAATGTCCCCCAAAATGTGTAAGCAGTTTTTTGAACATCTAGGATCCAGTCAAGATGCATTGTGTTTGGTAGTTTTTCTTCTGTCTTTAGATTAGCCTCTCCATCATAACTGACTTTCTTCTTTAAGTCGAGGCCAGTTGTTTGGTAGGGTGGCTCGACAGTCCAGTCTGAATTTTTCTGATTATTTCCTCATGATTACAGTCAGGCCAAACATTTGCTAAGAGTGCTACACAGGTATATGTTTCTCACTACAGCACATACCAGGGAAGGCTATTAAAAAACCCCAACCCAGTACTGAAGTATCACCCCTATAGATTTCTAATTTAATTGGTCTGGGGCAGGACTCTGGCACTGGCATTTTTTAAAGTTTCCTTAATATATAGAAAGCTCGGGAGGGTCAGAATCATTGCTGGGGGGCAGAGGAGAATGAGGGCAGCTACGGTATAAAAGCCCTCTGGAGACAATCTGATTGAGTGGTGCTAGTTGAAACCAGATGGACCTTGCAATCACTCCTGGGAGAGGCAGAAGACCCGTGGCTTCAGGTGAACCGAACACTCCAAATAAACACACTATAAATAAAATAATGTACCTCCAATGTGGAAAGCCTAGACCCCACCCCTCGGTGAGGTCAGAGGTAAAGGTACAGATGGATGCCTCTTTCTCCAAGGACTTGGCCTGGAATGAGGGCAGCGATTGCCTGCGGCCTTTTTTCCACTGCCTACACCTAAGCAGGGAGGCAGTGTCGGGTGCTTGTGCTGAGCAGTGCGATCCGCTAGAGCACACCCAGACCAGGATGAAGTGAAGATTTAAGAGCCGTGCCTTGGAAAGCTATTTTAAGGAACTAGAATGTGTAGCCTGAGAGCACGAAGTACCATGGGGAACATTATGGTGTTTTGTTTTTTTCATTTATTTACTAGGCAAGCATTTATGACACACCCATGCTGGGCCTAGTGCTGTGCTAGGCTCTAGCAATGCCAAGAGCGCGGACATCGTCCCTGCCTCCAAGGAGTTCATAGTCTAGTGAGAAGACCAGCACATTAGGCATCTTCAAGTAGGCAGGCACTCAGAAGATTTAGCTCTTTGCTGATACTTAAGTTTTTTAAAGATTTTTAAGTCCCATGGGTGCAGGTTACCAGGAGTCAGACTTCAATTCTGTCCTATTATACCTGCATCCCCAAATGAGCTCCCTGAGGTGGAGCTTTGTTTCTGGTCATTGGAGTGTGTAAGCAGAGTGTCCAGGGATGATGTGGGAATAGTCTTTTGTTTCAGAAGTCATGCATGCAAAGTCAAGTTGCGTAAAGAAATCTGCCTTTAAGTGTTCACTGGAGTTTTGGGGAAGAGGAGAGGACAGCATGTAAAGATGTTTCCTCATCGCCCTGATACCAGGGATTGCCTAGGGCTGCTTGTCTGGAGATGGCAGTGATTTGTTGTAGTCTCTTACTCTGAAAACAAGAGTATTTTAGTCCCATTTTATAGTTGGGAAGCCTGAGCCAAAGTACCACAGCACAGAACAAGTCCTTGGCCTCCCCATTCTGACCTTCCTTCTCAGCTCATAGGGATTCTCAAAAGCAGTTCTGTCGCTGTTGGAAGGGAGCCCTTGGGGGTCTTATTCCACTCTTCCTTCTCCTCCTAGCTCCAAGCTTTCTTCCTGGTGTCAGATGACATTATGGATTCATCCCTCACCCGACGGGGACAGATCTGCTGGTATCAGAAGGTAAAGAGGGCAGGAAAGTAGCAGTGGGCATGGGAACAGGCCACAGGAAAGTGGTTACATAGAGCCTATTGAAGTGTTCAGAGTGAGAGGTCCTTGGTATGAGTCTAGGCCAGAGACTGACTGCTTGTTTTTCTGTGTTCCCCTGACAGCCAGGCATAGGTTTGGATGCCATCAATGATGCTATGCTTCTGGAAGCATGTGTCTACCGACTGCTGAAGTTCTGCTGCCGGGAGCAGCCCTATTACCTGAACCTGATCGAGCTCTTCCTGCAGGTGTGCTGCAGGCCAGGGCTCAATGTCCAGAGGCTGCTCACAGTAGCCTTGACCTCTATAAGACATTCTCATCTAGCTGGTTTCAGGACATAGGAGATGCCTAGGTTTGCCTGGAAGGGAAGAAGGCGAGGGAATCGGGAAGGGTGGTGTTAACGACAAGGAGGATTATCTATCCCTGTGACTGATAAGGAGGGAGGGAGGGAGGGGGGGGGAGAGAGAGAGAGAGAGAGAAATGAATGAATGTATGTGTGTGTGTGTGTGTGAACATGAGCCTTGAGTTATGGGGTTCTCTCTCCCTCTTGCTTCCTTTCTGACTCTGTCCAGCTGTTAACTGGTATGGAATGTGTGTCTCAGGATTTCAGGGTTCCCCAGTCCTGGGGAAAGCCCAGCTTTATGAACCATCTTCCTCCTTAGAGTACCTATCAGACTGAGATTGGACAGACCCTGGACCTCATCACAGCCCTAAAAGGCAACGTGGATCTTGGCAAATTCACTGAAAAGAGGTGAGGGACAGTGGGAATCATATCTGGACAGTGAGGGAGGGCTCCAGGTGGGCACTGCCTTTCAAAGGAATTTATCTTCTCCCCACTACTTAGGTACAAATCTATTGTCACGTATAAGACAGCTTTCTACTCCTTCTACCTTCCTGTAGCTGCTGCCATGTATATGGTAAGTGAGAACCGGCCACGCCCCCGCCCCAAGCTACCCACTAGTGTGGGCTTTTGGACATTCCAGTGCCCTCACTTAATGGCTGTGTGACCTTGAGCAAGTTACATATTCGCTCTGAGTCTGTTTCCTCAGCTGTAGGATGAGGATAAAATCCTATCAGCCCTGACGAGTGTGGCTCAGTTGGTTGGCGTAAGGTTGCTTGTCTGATTCCCAATCAGAGCACGTGCTTGAGTTGTAGGGTCCAGTCCCTGGTTGGGGGTGTATACCTAAGGCAACCAATTGATGTGTCTCTCTCATTGATGTTTCTCTCTCTGTCTTCCTCCCTTCCCCTCTCTAAAAATAAAATACAAATAAAACCTGTAAAAAAAATCCCACCTCACAGATTTTTGTAAAAATTAAGTGAAGCAAGTGGTGATAGTGGTTGGCCCATCAGAGTGGAACAAGAAATCTTCCATCTGAATATGGGTAGGAGTGGGGCAGAGAGGGTTCAGGCTGAGAAGAGTGGATTTATAGGCAGTGAGTAGGATTCACTGCCTATCCTGACCTCGTTTCTCCAAGTTTTCCTTTTCATCCTGAAAGAAGTTGGAAATGGCAAAAAGATTATGAAGAAGGATCAGTAACCCATGGACTGAGCAGAATGCATTAATCTCTGCTTACAGAAAGGCCTAAAGTTAAGTGGGATAGAGGTTGGGCCTCTATCAGTCAGGACTTCCTAAATCAGGGAAGCCAGGGATGTCTGAAAGAAGAGCAGAGAAGATTTTGGGGCTGCACTTGGGCAAGGCCCCATGGGAGGAAGCAGCCAAGGAAGATGTAGGTACCTCTGGTTTCTGGCTTATTAATTCCCTTTTCACTGTAGGCAGGCATTGATGGGGAGAAGGAACATGCCAATGCCAAGAAGATCCTGCTGGAGATTGGGGAGCTCTTTCAGGTTCAGGTAGGAAGGCATGCGGTACTGGTAGAGAACAGGCTCCAGCTTAACTTTATTTCCTGCCTTGGACCCTCTTCATTCCTCCTTTTCTGCTCCCCTGCTCAGGATGATTACCTTGACCTCTTTGGGGACTCCAGTGTGACAGGCAAGATTGGTACTGACATCCAGGACAACAAATGCACCTGGCTGGTGGTTCAGTGTTTGCAACGGGCCTCTCCGGAACAGCGCCAGATCTTGCAGGTGCCCAAGAGAGGGCTGTGGATCCCTGAGCTGATAAGAAAGGGGATAGAGCAGTGGTTTTCAAGTAGGGGCAGTTTTGTACCCCATGGACATTTGACAACAACAGCAGACATTTTTGGTTGTCATAACTGGTGTGTGTGCATGCGCTACAGGTATCTCTAGTGAGTAGAGGCCAGGAGTGCTGCCAGACATCTTATGATGGACACAACAATCTCCCACAACAAAGAACTATCTGGCCCCAACTTTCAGCAGTGCCAAAGCTGAGAAACCCTGGGATAGAGGAAGCTGAGGGCTGAGCCAATATCTGAGCATTTGGGATGGGGAGGGAAAAGTTCAATATCTTAGACAATCTTACACACTCAAGACACTTGAAATTGAATGGCATTGCAGATGTTCTGGAATATATGGGTGAGGGGTGTGGAGGGGACCTGGAGGTGCTGGGGGAAGGTTAAGCCTGTTTTCCTGCCTCCAATTCCTTTCCAGGAGAATTATGGGCAGAAAGATGCTGAGAAGGTGGCCCGGGTGAAGGCGCTGTATGAGGAGCTGAATCTGCCGGCTGTGTTTTTGCAGTATGAGGAAGACACTTACAGCCACCTTATGGGACTCATTGAGCAGTACTCACAGCCCCTGCCCCCAGCCATCTTCCTGAGGCTAGCGCACAAAATCTACAAGCGGAAAAAGTGACCTAGAGACTACCAGGATAGGGCGGGGAGGTTCTCGATTGATACCGTGGCTCCCCACTTAATGTCATCAATAGGTTCTTAGATACTGTGACAAAATTTTGCCATTGGCTAATTTATGTGGACAAGAGTTAATTTCCTAGAGCTTATTTCTGGTCACAAAAATCCACCCAACAATATTAATATTAAACACTGAAATGTGAGCTGTACACACATTTAAGGAATGAATAAAAACAGGTAAGATTATTTTCCAAGTCACTTATTCCAGTTAAGTGTTGCGGGTGACAGGAACCTATCTGAGCAGTGCAATGTGGGAGCCAGCCCTGGACAGGAGGCCCTTCTATCACAGATCCTATTCAAGTGACTTAGACATGAATTCTCACCTGCATACCTTTGGGATGTGAGAAGAAAAATGGGTTCTGAGAGAAAACCCGGATAAGGGAAGAACATGCAAGCTTCACACTCCATCCGCGTGGAATAGATTTTCTAAACCTAAGGAAATGAGGGTGAATAAAATGTTATTCCGGGGCCTGTTGTATTGTCTTCGTGGTTCTATTTTTGAGTGTACCAGCCAGGGGTGTAGCTGTGTTCAGAATGGGTGGGGCTGGGGCGTCTTTACTTGCGGACCCCTTAGGACAGAGCTTAGGACATAACTGCATGCGGGCCTACGTGGGTGGCAGGCAAGACGTCAAGTGCTGGGGGCTGGGTCTGAGCCACGCCCGTGTGTGAAGGGGTGCGGCTGCGCAGAGCTAGCGGGTTGTCCTAGCGCCCCTCCTCTCCAGTCTGGGGACTGGCAGCTGCGGAGGAGCCCAACGCCTGGAGCGGTGGCAAGAGGATCCTGGTGAGGAGGGCTTTGGTGTGGGGTGTGGATGAATGGATGGGGAAGAGGGGTGGACCAGGGGAGGGAGCACTAAAAATGAATAGGGGGTGGGGTGGTGGCTGGATGGCAGAGGAGTGCGGAGAACGGACGGAAACACCAGGTTTACAGCAGGGTGGAGGTGCACCCGGGCTGTACGCTGAAGTCCTGTGGGGTCTGTGCCGGCCGGCTTGACTTGCAGACGACTGCTCTGTTCTATCCGCCATCCCCACGCCTGCCCTTTTTCTTTATTAACCAGCCAGACGCGACTCCCCTCCGCTCATTTCAGAGCGTCTGGGCAGGGCCTCCCTTGTCCCCTTACTCTGGGAGTGATTGCGGCAGAGAGAACCTAGGGTCCTTTCTGGGCCGCATCCATTTTCCAGCCCTGAGCCTCCATGGGGATCTTGAGCGCAGCCGCATTCTTTGACACTTCCCTCCCCATTGTGGGGGGCGGGGGGGGGGGTGATGGTGGTTACAATCGACTCCACCTGCAAACACTGCAGAGGAAACTAATGGCTACTGGACGGTCATTTGCATCTCATCTGAATATTGTCTAAAGCAGCAGGCGGCCTTCCCAAGCCTGCTCCCACCGTCAGTCACCTTGGTGTCCTTCCCGTGGCCTGCACCTTCACTAGCTGGGTTTCACCATCCCTGTGTTCTAGGTCACCATCTGCGGCTGTCAGGTAGGCGGACTTGAAAGGCCTGGTCTTCCTGATTCTTTAGAAGCCATCCCGTCGCCACTGGCATTATGCTGTCCCCTCAGAGGGCTTTACTCTGCAACCTCAACCACATCCACCTCCAGCATGTCTCTCTGGGCCTGCACTTGTCCCGACGTCCTGAGCTACGGGAGGGGCCCTTGAGCACATCCTTTCCTCCAGGAGACACCGGGGGCAAGGAGAGTCGGGGCCCCTGCAGCGGGACCCTCGTGGACGCTAATTCCAACAGCCCAGCCGTGCCCTGCCGATGCTGCCAGGAGCACCGGCCAGGACTCGACACCCAGCAGGACGCAGCACAGGAGGAAGAGGGCGCTGCCTCTCCCTCGGACCCCGGCTGCTCCTCCTCTCTCAGTTCCTGCTCAGATCTTAGCCCTGATGAGTCCCCCATTTCAGTCTACTCGCGGGACGTCCCCGGCGATGAAGATGTCCATCCTCAGACCAGCATTATTCCCCTGAAGCAGGAATCTCATCTGGCGTCCGCAGGCCCTGGTGCCTGCTCTCCTGACAGCTTCTGCTGTTCTCCTGATTCCTGCTCCGGAGCTTCCTCCCCACCCGGCCATGGTTTGGACTCCAACTGCAATGCCCTGACCACCTGCCAGGACCTCCCCTGCCCTGGGCTAGAGGAAGAGGACGAGGGTGGGGAGCAGGACCTTCCTACCTCTGAGGTCCCAGAGGCGGATGACAGGAAGATTGACGCTAGAAAAACCGAAGCCAGTTGGAAAATCAACCCCATTTGGAAAATTGACACAGAGAAAACTGAAGCTGGCTGGAAAATCACTGAGAACAATAACTCTGGTTGGAAAATCAATGGGAATACTAACTCTAGTTGGAAAACTGAACCTGGAAAATTCGACTCCGGCTGGAAAACCAACACAGGAGTAAATGATTCTGGCTTGAAAACAGGCGCAGGAAAAAGTGATGGGGGATGGAGAAGTGACGTCAGTGAGGAGCCAGTGCCCCACAGGACAATTACATCCTTCCATGAGCTGGCCCAGAAGCGCAAGCGGGGCCCAGGGCTGCCCCTAGTGCCTCAGGCCAAGAAAGACCGCAGTGATTGGCTTATAGTCTTCTCTCCTGACACCGAGCAGCCCCCAACCGGGTCACTGGGAGGCTCTCAGGCGGCTCCCCGGGAAGTTACCACCTTCAAGGAACTTCGGTCCCGAAGCCGGGCCCCGCCCCCGCCAGTTCCGCCCCGTGATTCCCCTGCTGGCTGGGCCTTGGTCCCGCCCCGGCCCCCACCCCCACCCATCCCTCCCCGGAGGAAAAAGAACCGACAGGGCCTGCAGCCCATAGTGGAGGGGCAGCCCGAGGAGGGCAGGGCGGTCAGCCCCTTGGCTGGCGAGAAGGCCCCAGCTGCCAAAGAGCCGGAGCAGCCCGGCGCGCAGGCCGGCCTTGAGGGTAAGAGGCCGCAATTGGAAGCGGGAGGCGGGCTGAGCTTCGGCCTTGCCCAAGCCTCCAAAGCTTACAACCCGTCCTCCTGTATCCTCCTCCTCCCTCTTTCAGTGTCACCCATTTCCCCCCCGCCCCCCGCCTCCCCGCCCCGTCCCCTTCTACCAGGGAGCGCTCCGGGAAAGGGAAACTGGGTGGGTCATTGGGTTACGGGACTAACTCTTTGCTCCCTCTTTCTCCCGCCCTTCCTTGCCTGGCTGCCCGACCCGCTGCCCTCCCTTGTCTCCGCACCTGCCCTGCCAATCCCGCCTGCAGCCCGTCCCCTTCTGCTCCCTCGGCCCCTGGTTTTCCGGTTCTCGGCCGACGGGCGCCCCCTGTTGGAGGGTGGGGGCGCGGGTGCAGCTGGGCCTCTGCTCCTGGCGCCTCTGGCCGGCTGGCCCGGCGCAGGGCTGAGGTTGTTGGGGGCGCCCAGTCCCTCAGAGGAGCAGCTGCTGCCTGTCCGCCTGTCCCCTGTGGGAGCCTATTCGCCTCCGGCTCGCGGGGCCCTGTCCTGCCTGGCCAGCCCCGAGCTGGCACTGCTGCTGTCCCCGCTCTTTCCCAGAAGTAGCACCTTCCCTGCCGCGACTCCCCAACCCCGCCAGGTACCCGCCCCCCCGCTGTCACCGCCACCTCGTCCGCCGAAGGCCCCTCGCTGGACCAGGAGCCCACCGCCTCCACACAGTCTACGTAAGACCGACCCAGGCCGGTCCCGCAGGCCACGCCCCAGGCGGGCCGCCCCGCCCACTCCTAAGCTCCGCTCACACCTCCTCTATAGTTTCTTCCGGGTTACTCGGCTCGGTCCCGCCCTTCGACCTGGGCCGATTGCTAACAAGTTCATTGGTTCTGGGGACCTGACCCCGCTCCTGTACCCGGCCTGGGTGTAGTGGACCCAGGCCTGTCCAGCTTCCATACTCAGCTGAAGGGGGTCTCAGCAAATTAATTGTTAGGGAGCATGGGTGACAACCTCGGTGGAATTCCCTGGCCAGTGCAGTTCGGTCCTAACCCCCAACTAGCTTGGGAAGCGTGCAGGGTGAAGCGCCCCGATGCCCTGGGCTGAAGAGGTCCTGATGACGTCTTCCTCGCAAGGCCCGACTCCCGCGGGCTGAGGGGACGCCCTCTGCTGATGATATATGATAGCACGGGACCCAGGTTTCCCCTTTCCGGTGCCTTCCAGCCTCCCAGTCGTTGGGTCTCCTCTACCTCCCTCTTCCTCCATTCTTGTTTGTCTTTCCATTGTTCCGGGCTCCTCACGTGTCCTCCGCGGGCTGGACGAGGGTCCGGGGTGCCCCTCCTTCCCCTCGCTGTTATCTCAGGCCTTGTAAGCTCCAGTCGGGCGGGCGGGTGATCGGGAGGTGAGAGCAGCTGTTCCTCGATGACTTCCGGGACCGAGGAGGTGGGAGCTGAGCCCTGAAGAAGGGAATTGAAACGGAAATGGGAGGGTGGAGAGGGGTGGCCAGTGCTGAGATCTGAGCAGGATTTCACTCCAGGGTCCCAGATCTGGCTAGCCCCGTGCTGTACCCAGCCCTGTGTCCCCTCTCCCAAGACTCTTAAGGGGCTGAGGTGCTGTGGACCCGCAGGAGGTGACCCGTGCAGAAGCTTGGAGTCCTGGAGTAACCCTTGGTAAGTGTCACCGCATTCTTCTTCCCTTCTCCAGTCCGCAGTTCCTGGTCCTTCGCCGGTCTCCCCGGGGCCCAGCGACTGTGGATGGCAGAAGCCCAGAGTGGGACTGGCCAGCTGCAGGAGCAGAAAAAAGGTAGGACTCCCTAACCCACCCTCCCCTCTCAGGGTCAGATTGCAAAAGCCGGTCTCTCCCATTCCTTTGGGTTTGCCTAGGGCGAGAGGAGGCTTTGATGCTTCTTCCCTCCCCACCCCCTTCCCAGGTCTCCTGATAGCCGTCAGCGCCTCAGTGGATAAAATCATCTCGCACTTTGGGGCAGCCCGAAACTTGGTTCAGAAGGTGAAGTTGTCTCTGGGAGGGTGTTGGGGGTGAGCAGAGGAATGTAGCTCTGGGAGCGCAGAACAGTTGGCGGGAAGGGCTCTGTGGTATCCCTGGACCCATGTCCGCTGCGCTGCCTCCAGGCCCAGTTGGGAGATAGTCGGCTGAGCCCAGATGTGGGGCACCTGGTGCTGACCACCCTCTGTCCGGCCCTCCATGCCTTGGTGGCTGACGGGCTGAAGCCTTTCCGAAAGGACCTCATCACCGGGCAGCGCAGGAGTAGCCCCTGGAGCGTGGTGGAGGCATCTGTGAAGCCAGGTGAAGGGGGTTAGTGTGGGACTGTGGGAATGGCGGCAGGGCTAGGGCTTGGCTGACAGCTTGGGTTGTCCTCAGGCTCCAGCACCCGGTCTTTTGGAACTCTGTATAGCCAGGTCAGCCGTCTGGCCCCACTGAGTAGCAGCAGAAGCCGCTTCCACGCCTTCATCCTGGGCCTCCTCAAGTGAGTGGCATTCTTTCTGGCGCCCTCCCATGGCTTGGGCATTGCAGGGGTATCTCAGGTGGGACACAGTAGTGATTGCCCCATGTTTCC